AGAGAAAATATAATTAAATATTTACTTGACCTTCAAGGGGGGCGGGGGGTGCCGTTGGGGGGGCGGGCCGCCCCCCTAAAATAATGGCAGGGGAAACACTGAGTTATCATGGTCTAGCTATGGTTTTTGTAGAAAAGCTGTAGTAACTACAAAAATAACCATCGTTTTACAGAATTTGCAGTAAAACAACAAATATTAACTGTGGTTGTAACCATGGTCTAACTATGATTTCTGTAATAAAAACACTACAAAAATAACAATAGTTTTACTAGAGTATGGTCTAACTATGGCGTTTGTAAAGGCACTATAGTAACTACAAAACTAACCATAGTTTACTACCATGGTTTAACTAATTTTTTGTAGTGAAACCATAACTACAAAATGACCATGGTTTTACTATAGTAACCATGGTCTAACTAAAGTTTTGTAGAAAAACCATAGTAACAACAAAAATATCATGATTTCATCACAGTAATCGTGGTCTATTGTTTTTGTAGAAAAGCCATAATAACTACAAAAATTAACAGTGGTTTAATTACAGTATCTAAAGCTTAACTGTGGTTTGTAGTAAATCCATAGTAAATACAAAATGGACTATGGTTTTACTATAAGAGTGACTCATGTATACTGTGGAAGCAGTTAGGCATTATTAGGCCATTTTTTTTCCAAAATTAAATAATTGGCTTTTATAGTCACAGCAAATTATCATTAGCACCATTATTAAACTTTGTGCCACCAAAATAGTCAAATATTATGTACTACTGTACATCTTAGGATATTCAATGGGGTCCGAAAGTCTTGATTTACATTAAAAATCTGTGATTTTTTTATTTATTTATTTTTTCATTTAAAAGTAGGTTTTATTTAACCCTAGTGGTTACTCTGGCTACTGTCTCCACAGTACCTATTGTATAAATAAAAATAGACCAAAAAGCAAAAGTGTGTATATTATCTCTCATCTGAGATGTTACGATCGCAGTGGTAGGGGCTGTCAAGCTGCGCGGTGCAGGCCTCTTAGGAAACCCTCGGCAAATGGATGTTCTCTTTCAGCGCACAGCAATAAATAATCCAGAAAAATGATCGTGTCTACAGCGGAGGAGGTGGAAGACTAACGAGCCCGCTGTTACTCATACTGTCATTAGCTTCCTGCTCTCTAAGCCCCTCCCACATCTCACTTGAGGGAAATTTAAACGCGAGTAACACCAGACATGCCCCTATTGCGCCTGCTGCTCTGCTAGCTTAGCCGCTAATGTTGTATTTGTAATCTTGGCTCTATAGAGAAACACTCTGGGTTGCTAGCACAGGTAGAGGACATGTTACAGGCATTGGTGGGCTTAATGGTTTAACAAATAGCCTGAATCTCATACAAAACTTGAATTGGACTGTTAGCATAGAAATAGTCAAGTCAAGTCAAGTCAGCTTTATTTATATAGCGCTTTTAACAATACAGATTGTGTCAAAGCAACTGAACTGCATTAATTAGGAAAATAGTGTGTCAATAATGCAAAATGACAATAGTAAACACTAATTTTTCAGTTAAAGACAGTTCATCATTGAATTCAGTGATGTCATCATCCAGCTCAGTTCAGTTTAAATAGTATGTGTGCAATCAAGGCGACGATATCGCTGGAAATGAAGATTAGCATAGCATAGATGCTAATCTTCAACATGTTCAACCCAGTATAATTTTTTATTTTCTTTGTTCTTTTCATGGTTTTTTTTTTTCACATGACTGGTACTTTTTAAGATTTTTAAACTTTTTAGATTCAAGATAACTTTATCCCACCAAAAAAGTTGTTTTAATGAAACGTCACACTCCTACAGAACAGCTGCCATGTTGGACAGTTAGCATTAAGTAGCATGTCTGCCAATCTTCAAGAAAAGATGTTGGTTCTATATGATTCTTCTTGTGGTTTTCTTATGTTTTTTTCCACATGACTACTTATTTTTACGATTTACAGTAGCTTTTAGATTTAAGATAACTAGTGACAATATTTCTGTTCCAATTAACAATGCTCTTAGAAGATAGCTTTTATCGCTTGATGCTTTATCACGTCAAAAAGGCTAATTTAGCATAACGACAGGGCTTTCACTCATACAGTACATCTGCTGTATTGGACTGTTAGCATAGAAATAGCATATCTGCTAATCTTCAACATTTAGGATCCAGTATGATTCTTCTAATGCTTTTCTTCACGTTCTTTGTGTGTTTATCGCATGACCACTTTTTAATATGTACAAAAACGTTTCGGTTTTAAGATAAGGAATTTTGTCTGTCCCAGCAGTTAACATAGCTTTTGTTAGCTTTTATTGCATCAAAAAGGCTGTTTTAACGTAACGACAGGACTTCCATTCCTACAGTACAGCTGCCGCATTGGACTGTAAGCATAGAAATATCATGGTTGTTTTCATTACATTCTTCATACCTTTTTTCACAAGACTACTTTAAGATATGACATTTTAGACTTAATTTAACTACCAATAAACTGTCCCAATTAACATAACATTTTAGCAGACAGCTTTAATCGCAAGTCACTTCATCACACCATTTCTTAACAAATTACTAAAAATAATGTTTTATTTATATAGCGCCTTTCCAGTGCTGAAGGACGCTTAAAGTAAAGATACAGTTAGAAAAGAAAAACACCAATATAATAAAACAAATCGACAAACAGTAGTACAAGTGAAAAAAATACCATTTTAAAACGGCTCCTCATATTTTCCATATTTTTTGTTGCAAAATGGTGTTTATGCAAGCAACCACAGGTAAAATCTGTGCCATAATGCTTCACAATTTCAAAAATGTGTGAAATGGACAAAAAAGAAGTCATGACTTCAGATGTCCATGATCTCACGGTTTTCAAAGTTATTGAGAAGCTATCCAAGCATGCTAACATATATCCACAATGCTTTTTTTGTATGAAAATTATGCATCCTTTTGACAGGCCTGCGGGCTTCCTTTCGGTCAGTAAGCTTCAGTTGGACCATTCATCCAAACACACGCACACCGTTCTTTTTGGTCCTCAAGGGCTTTAAAAGGCTGCATGGCTGGTGTACATCAGCGCAGATATTTTTGTTTGCCTGATATGTGAGGAAGCCATGTTTTTCGGTATCACCAAAGCGTGCAATTAGAAGCGGTGGCATATGTGTGCGTGCGATGTCCTCCTCCTTCGTCCTGATAGAGGCCTCTTGTGTGAAGATCTTACAGACCCAATTACTGTAATCACGATGATCAAAGAGAGGGTGTTGAAGAGAAGAGAGCAGCAGTCAAGTCAAAGTGTGGCAAAGAGAGTGTGTGTGTGTGTGTGTGTGTGTGTGTGTCATTTGCGTGGGGGTAGGGGTGCGGTTAGCTGTTCGATTCACATCCATCATCTGTGTTTAATGTACAGATTCGTTTTCACCACTCTCAACCTCTTTCTTTTTGTGTGCATGTATGTGTGTGTGTCTTTGCAGTTTCCAAAGTTGGTTCAGGAGATACACTGGATTAGGTGGAATGACAAATCACTCCTGGCGACTGGTGAGGTGAGTTTCAATGTTCAGATGGCAAAGGGCACGTCTGCAGATATGGGTTGATAATTTTTCTTCTGGCTTAAAGAGATATTCACCTAAAAATGAAATTTCTGTCATCATTTACTCACCCTCAAGTTGTTCCAAACCTGTATGAGTTTCTTTCTTCTGTTGAACACAAATGAAGATATTTCAAAGAATGTTGGTAACCAAATGTTTTCTAGTCTCCATTGACTTACATGGTATGGGAAAAAATACTATGGAAGTCAAAGGCCACCAGTAACTGTTTGGTACCAACAAATTAATACGGGTTTGGAACAATATGAGGATGAATAAAAGATGACAGAATTTTAATTTTTATTCCTTTAAAGGTGCATTCAATACTTTTTCCCCTTCAAAACAAACAGAAATATTTCTAAACGAATAGTAGTAGTGATTTTAAACGTCATATCAGTAGCCCAATAAAAGCCGTTTTATTTTACATGGAGTGGGTCGTCTCATGGAGGCCACCATTTTAACACATTTTCATGCTGAAAACTACTCATTTTAACCATCATATTATTGTAAACTTTTGCTTGCTGAATATATTAATCAGTGTGAAAATTAGCCTTTCTACAGTGTTATTGTTAACTAAATGCTTTAGGTTTTTCAGCATGCTGCATCCACACCACTAGATGTCAGTATGTCATGTTCGAAATTGCAACCAGCATAATACAAAATTATTAAAACCAAAAAATTACTGAACGCACCTTCAAAGTATTTGCTTTTTCCTTGTCTTTTGAAGAGACTTTTAAGATAATAGTTCTTTTAATGGATCTTTTTCGGTATTTATTGAATAACATCGGTTCTCTTTTGTTGTTTCCTTTTCTTGCTTTCTCTGTCTGTCTGTTTTGCTTTCACTTGGATTAAGGCCAGATGTGCTATCTAAGACTTGTGGATACTAAATTGAATAATTTTTTGTTGGCAAGACTGTGTTTGATTAACCAGTCTTAATCTTAAATCACCAGTGACGTTTTGTATGTTAATTGTATTTTAATCACTTGTATATTAATTTAGCAACAACATCTATATTGTATTTTCAAGTGAAAAAGAGTATTGGTCTGGAAGTAATGTGGGGCAGGGCTTGATTTAATATCAATGAAGTAATGAATGTTATTGGTCAATATTTCGGCCCCGCCCATATGGCATTGGTTACATCACCAAAAAGCAAAATGCTTCAGCGCATTATTACATATCAACTGAAGATTATGAAATTGGTATACATTTTCAATATAAAATGGATATGAAATCCAAATTATGAAAGAAATGAATTTTTTTAGCTAATAAATAATGCACAATAACACAAAGGGCATTCACTGAGAAAGTAAATACCGTAGTCAATTTTGATTTTATGTTGTGTTTAAAGGCCTGTAAAGATTTCCAAACCATCAAAAGGTCATATAAGTTTGAGAGCACAATTCATTGTGTTGTATTTTTGGAGTAGGTGACCTGTGCTATGCCCTTCCAGCATAGAGAGGTGGGATGCACCCACCCGCTGCTTGCCTTGTCTCCACACCGACCTCTGCACAGACTGTCAAGTCAACTCACCATCAGGCCACCGTTTGCCTCAGTGAACATTCAACGCTGTCGGTGAGTTTGAGCTAAATAGAAAAAAACCATCGACCGTTGATTGTACCCTGCGGCCGAGCCCTACCGAGCCTTGCCTCTCCCCACCACCGGCAAAGACGAATTTCAGCATGGACTCCTGGAGACACGACGGTTTTGTCTTCCAACGCTACCGGCAGCCTGGGACGACGGCTGAAAAGTTTGACTTTGAAAACTACAACAAAGGTCACAATCAACATTCATTGCTGTCGGTGGGTTGGACTGTTAAAGAAAGCTCACTGAACAATGAATGCAACTGTGTCCCAGATTTCCTTCTCGCAAAGTGGCATCGGAGATTAATATTAACTGACAGAGCTGGATGTACTCATTTGCTCTTCTCACTTGAGTTTGTTTGTGGCTCTTCGTGGCAAAGACGCAAGTGGACTGAGAACACCATGTCAAAGGCCCCTTTAAGGCCAATGAATGTTTCTTTTGTATAATAAATAAAGACAAGACCAATCCAAACCCAGTCTAATCCTGTGAGTCTAAAACGTATTAACCGGAGATGTGGTATTATAGATGTTGGCAAGCGTGTTGTGCTGTGGTACTTGCACAGACTATGCAGGTTAGATTTTTTTTTTTTTTGATGCCATTTTTTACCTGCAATAATTTTATATGAGTAACAGCCATATATTTAAATTTTTTTTTTAAATCGTTTTTTTTTTTTACAGAAAAAATAATATTTTTTAAAACTGTAACATGAATCAAAGTTCAGCACAAGTAGCTTTTTCAAATGCTGCCATAAATATATATATAGAAGGTGCACAGTGTTACACACAAATCAAAACACTATCATGGTAAAACATGACACAAACAACATACGTTGTAACATAAAACCCCAATATACATAACTTTAACAAAAACTGTTAAGAAACAATTATTTAAATGAAATACCATGAAGTGTCATACTAAGAAATCTTGTAATGTCAGTTTATGGTTTTTCACTGTAAATTATAAGATCTTTTTTGCTTCCAAAATTGGTACATTTAACAGTATTTTACTGTAAAATTACATGAAATGTTAGATCTATTACAGGTTCTTCAGAAACTTAGCGTTAACCGATTAACAGCCCACATGAAAAAATACTATAGTAAATACTATAGTGTTTTTGAACCATACTGTAGTAAAGTGTATTACACTGTAGGCTATATATTATAGTATTTACAACACTTTGTTAATGAATGCTGCAGCATACTGTAGTATTAACTATAGTGAACTGATAAACTGTAATAAATACTGTAGTATACTTTAGTTTTTACTACAGTAAACTGTAGTGTATTGTATATATAGCTACCCTATAGTTGTAGAAAACTTAGTACAGTATTGGGTAAAGTAATTTGTTTATAATACTATAGTTGCTATATTAAAACAACAACTATAGCATTACCACAACAAATTAATTCAAGTTTTACTATAGTATGGTTCAAAAACACCAATTACTATAGTATTTTTAGGTTTTTACTAAAGCATTTTCACATTCTTTCAAAACTTAAAATACTCATTTTTACTGTATGTGTGTGTTGCCTACATATAATTAGCTACACTTTTATGTGATTATATATAGAGTGTGTAAAATTCAGTTTCGTTTAATTTGGACTACCATTTTTACAGATTAACCCAATATCCTGTAATAAATGGCTGAAGGAAACTGTGAATATGTGGTTAAGCGCTAAATAAACAAACAAAATGGCTTAAAATACACGTCTTATTAAAGAGTTCTTGCACTTCACCGCTTGTGAGATCACATACACGTCGCGTTTGAGCTAAACTAAACCGATCACGGTGAAATCAGAGGAGGACAGCCCGCTGCATTTACAGGCCGTATCTTAATTAGAGGCTAACGGTTTTACTGTCCGTTTCTAGGCCAATCCAAGATTATGTCACATTGCTGGTAGTTTATGAAAAATTAATCCAAATTGGAAAATATATCATTTGCATTATGTTGTAAATTTTGTTTAGTTTGTTGTTGTGGATGCCAGGTCCTTGTGTTTTTTAAAAGTAGGCCTATATAATTGAATTGGACTGGTTTTATAGGCACTTTGAATATAAAATGAAAATTGGCCAATTTGTAATATAACTGGCCAAACAATAAAATCAAACATTAAGTGAAAAGAATAAAAAAAGATTGTAATGTTGCCTAATTCCTCCATTTTGCACAGCAGGCCTGAGAGCACCACCCCAACAAACACACAACGTTTTCATAACGTTAATGTTAGTATTTGATCCCCATTTGGTTACTTGTTTGGAACCAAATAAAAGTGCTCTAGGTTGAAACTTTTTAGGGTTTAGGCTATGTTTGGTTAAAAAAATACTGTTTGCTGTGATGATAACCCATGAAAGCAAAATCAAAGCGCATGAGACACATTTCCGAGCTTCTTTAGCTACTGTACAATTCCTGCTTCTTGTTCTCCTCGAGCCCTTGTTCCTATCATAAGCATGATGGCTATTGTATAATAAACAGAAATGAGAATTCGGTAATACCGTCACCTCCTTTGAAGCCCCTCGTTTGCTCATTGTGTGGGTATCTATAATTAAAGCCTTGAGGCTTCTCAGCTCTTGTTTTCAAAGCGCCAATTCAAAGTTACAGACCTCAGCAGTATTTTGGGACAGACCGTTCTGGGTTTTTTTTCTCAGAATTCTGAATGCCACTGTGGTTTCCAAACTGGCAACAGGAAATGTGAAGACTGCAGGTGTTTGAGAAAAGAGGCTCCTGGAGAGCTGAGCATCAGACAAGAGGATTAACTCAAGTGAATATTCGCGGTTAGACATTTCGAACTGTGTACATACTCGACGGTTTCCTCAAATATGACACTATTTTGAGAAATACCGCAGTGCTTTTATATTTTCCTCCTGCTCAATGGCTTCCCTTTGTGGAGTTGGAGGAACTGAAAATAATTGTGACACATATCAGCACGTAAATTACATTCAAGTTGACTAAAATATCAACCGGTTTTACGAAAATGGCCGTGTTTGGAAAAATCGTTATGCTTGCGCTTAGTGAAAGCTCCGCGGACATCAGAAAGTCCCTGTTCACTTTCGGCCAACATTAACATTTGTCAGGTGTTATTAGCATGTGTCAACATTTGAGTTGGAAGATGTGAAGGTTCAGCGGGATCCTGTGAACAATGTACCAACGGCGAAATGAGTAAATAAAGAATTGGATTTAAATAGCACTGTGTGTTCTGGAGGCGAAAAGCTGTCTGGAGTTTTAGGGAGAAAAATAAACCCAGCCAACATACAGCGGGAAGTCTTACATTTATTTTAATTAGGCTATAGCTTTAGTAGGCTATTACATTTTAGTTTTAAATATTAGTTATTCCATTTTGAGATTTTTTATTTCAGCAATTATGTAGCCTATATAAAAAATTTTAATGCAATAATGTAATAAACAGCAGAAAAAACTTTAATAGGCCTATAACCTTTCATTTTCAAATCTTTACTACAATCCTTATTTTTTATTTATATTTCCCACTGTTTGACATCCCATTTAATTTCGATTAACTTTGAATATTACTATAATTTTTTATTATTTATTTTATTATATATATATATTTTTTTTTTTTTTTTTT